GAGCTGTGATCAACACTAACGAGTGTACAAGTCGATTTCTTTTGTTTGTACTAAGTTGTGCATTTCGAAGGCCCACGTTGTTAAATGGAGTGATTTTCGTGTGTCGCACGTGTAACAAAATCTTCGAGTACGACATAATAATAATACAGAAGGGTAAGATATAAGCAAAAGCCAAGACGATCCAACCAAGCGTCGTCTTCCACATTGGCCAATTTTTTTCATCTGCTTTTAGGAAGCAATAATACCTGAAAAACCATGTGAAGCAATCGTAAAAATAGTCAAAAAAAAATCAACTTGTGCGTTTTCTATTTTCTTATCATTTAATTGTGTCATCAAACTAATTGCTGTACTTTACTCCACTTTTCCAAATAAAACACAAAATATGCTTGATTCCGAGAGAATTTAGGTTTGTCTCTCTTTCTATCTTGAGAATCGAAATAAAAAGAAGTTTTTCAAAGTCAAATGTTAAATGTAGAATATTTCTAACAATTGTTCATGCCAGTCTGAAAAAAATTGAGATCTACGAACCTTTCCTTGTGCATCTCCAACTCCCCATAGAATGTTGCAGGTGCAGAGAGTGCTGAACCCCAGGCGATCAGCAAGAAATATCTCAGACGTTTCGTCGTTAGGTTTCGATGTATAAACGGCTTGACAATGCCAAAATAGCGCTCCATTGCGATTGCGGTCAACGTCAAAATCGAAAGGAATATCATAGAATAAATGACTATGGTGAAGAAGGAACAAATGATCGTTGCCTCAAGTTCGGACAACCCTCCGGTTTTATCAGCGTATACGACAAAGATGAATTTTCCTGTGGAGAAAAGGCTCGACAGAAGATCAGCCACGGCAAGATTTAATAATAGATAGTTGTAAAGTGTTTGTAAGGAGACGTTTTTCACGATGATGACTATTATAATGATGTTGTTCACACAGCCAAAAATCGCAATGAAAACGTAGCACGCAATTACGAAAATATCAGAATCATGGATACTTCTGCTTGAATTCGATGTCGTAGAATTACTTGTTGATTCAACAGCAATCGTGGAATTTGTGGAACTGTTTGTCATAATCACTTTATGAATTTACATCATCGGCGAGATTTGAGCACCATTAGCTTTCAATCATTGAAAATATCTGTTCTTCATTCCCCAGCATGATCTCTTTGATTTCTACAACAGGAAATCGTCACTTCACTAACTAAACACGACTTTTTTCACTGTATGAATCAACAACTTGTTGAGTTTTTTGCTGTCTGTCTTTGGCTGTTTCTATGCAAAGCGATGTATTATCACTTCATGAATTCGGGAGCATTTATGCTCAAGTCAGTAAGTTTACTAATGAAGATTTGTCTCCTGTATGAATATAGATGTAATTCGCGTAATTACAATTACAGTGATGTATTTAGTATAAATGCACATGTCAATATGTTTCTTTTATAAAGTCTGTTTGAAGAGTATCTCTTTATTTTCTAGCACATATATAAATAGCATTTTTCAAAACAATATTATGAAGTGGAAATGGTACATTATCTGATCGGCGATCAAGCGCAAGCTGTTGATATTGCACATCAATTTCCGACAGGTGCATGTCGAAATGTGATTTGCCATTATCATTACTTATAAAAATGGAAACTGTTATGTTTTGATCATTGATTTTGATACATTATAGAAATCGTAATTGAATTTGAATTTCTTATTTGATACCCGTGAACTGTAGCGTTTGTTTTTTGAGCGTTTTTTCACGCTCGCAAAAAACTAACAATTGACAAGTCTGACCGAAAGAACAATACTTCTTTTGAGTTCTTTTAAGATCATATATTGCTTAAATATAAATCTCGTTTATCTTTGGCATAAAATTAAGGCAAATCTATTGCCATTGACAAGTCTGACCGAAAGAACAATACTTCTTTTGAGTTCTTTTAAGATCATATATTGCTTAAATACAAATCTCGTTTATCTTTGGCATAAGATTAAGTCAAATCTATTGCCATAAAGAAATAAAGAAATAAAGAGATCCTTTATAAACTTTCTCTGGTGATTCTTTTCATTTTTAGCCTGTTCAGAGTTAAGAACGAGTTCATAAAGTTTTATGAATTTGGAAAATATTTGACCTCGCTGGAACAGCAATGGCTGTAAGATGGCTATAAGTCATCGTCTTAGAATGTGATCTTGATTGTGCACGTCTGCAAATGTGTAGACGGACGTCGGTGGTTTTGCAATTCTAAATCTTGTATCGCCGTTAAACTTTTATGAAACCTTTTATAAAGCAAGAAATAGAAGATTCGAACTAAGAAATCACTGAAATAAAATATTGTTTCGAATATTACGAAATTTCTTCGTCGTAAGACAAATACAAACACCTTTTTAAAAATTAGAAAATTTGTGCTATCCAATGGATAACGCTATCTAGGCTTCGTGCGACCGGCCCCATGCCGCTCTTACATAAACCAAAATTGTATTCCAACATACTCGAATCAATTTAACAATTTACGTTAAAAGAAATAAATTGCCTGTTTGATCCCTAGACAATATGATTCTGCCAGCTGCCGATGCAGAATGAGTTCGATCTGCTTTGAACTATTGGTTACACAAGACTTTTCTGTGTTGGGAAATTTGTTATTCGCTCTCTGCAACCATTTTCCGCTGTCCGCATGAAATCACTAATTTTAAAATGGAGATGGGTTCCAGTTGAACGTGAAGTTTGTTTGGAACCGAGTAAAGTATTTTCGAGGGTACATTTGCCTGCAAGGTAGCTTCACCTTCATTTATGGCTTAGCTTCATGCCAAAGACTAAAAATACACTAAGGGTCAAAAGTCTGAGTCCACTCAGTATTTTGTTTAAATTTACAATAAATAATGACTTTGCTAACTTATAAGTGATAGAAAAGTACAAAAATGATTTGAACCATAAGCATTGCATGTTGGCGACGCCTGCCAAAACATGCCTTGTCATTAACTGTAACATTTAAGGTAATTATTGTGTATAAATGGAAAAATAATGGCAAAAGAACAAGTAAGTGAAAGAGCAAGAGGTGAAAGAATTGATCAGAGTATGTTTGATTGATACAGAGCAAAATTTCCGAGAAATTAAAGGTGTGAAAGGATGCTGTGAAAAGTATGAAAGGGTGTTGTGGAAGGTGTCAAAGGGTGATGTGAAAGGTGTCAAAGGTGCTGTGAAAGGTGTCAAAGGGTGCTGTGAAAGGTGTCAAAGGGTGCTGTGAAAGGTGTCAAAGGGTGCTGTGGAAGATGTCAAAGGGTGCTATAAAAGGTGTCGAAGGTGCTTTAAAAGGTGTGAAAGGATGCTGTGAAAGATGAGTCTATCTAACTGTTGTGGGTCGCGCGTCGCGCGTAAAAAGTCGTGTGTCGCGCGTAAAATAACGCGGGTCTAAAAAACACTTTTTGCATGGAAAAGTTTGAAAGTCGATGTCAAATTCTCAAGAATACTGTATTTCTATGTATGCCCACTCGAATGTGCTCTATAAATCAACGTTCTTTGCTATCAACATTAAAATATGTCACTGGTGCTTTGGATATTTAAGATTTGTGTTTATTATACTTATCCAATTATACTAAACGACGCGTTGTTAATAAGAGGAATTATTATTAGTTTTGAGGGTCGTTAAATTCTCTTACAATTGAAGTTGTAAAACCCAGTTCATAAATTATAAGATATGGTTTATTCATATGTGTAACATGCTTTATATAAGATATAGTTTATTTGTATGTGTAACTTTCTCACGATTATAAATTTGCTTTTCTCAAGCAACTAAGTGCTTCATTACCATTAAAAGAGTTGTTCCAAGTAAATCTTGAATGGTTAGTGATGCTTGGTAGTAATGAAAAGCTAACTATGTCTTCCATAGTGATTAGTGTATAACTTATGTATATTAATATTTTATTTGGATACATAGAACAAACACACATTGCCTATAAATCAGGATTTTACGCAACGCTTATGAGGTATTTCTATTGACAACAGAGAACATGTATCTTACAGACCCTGGCTCTATGTGTAGTACAGTCATAACAAATATGAACCATTAATTCAAGATTTATTTGGATAGAACTCATGTAATGGATATAAAACATCTTATTGCTAAGTAAAAGAATCTTGCCAATCGTGCGCAAGGGAAGAAGAAGCCGCGGTTTTACTTATATAATCTACTTGTAGCTTATGAATTATGATCCTAAACGAAATGTGTTTACAAATTGAAGTAGATGTACGGAGTTTTCAACGGTAATGTCCGCAAACCTTGCAGTCTCTAATTATAGAATTACATACTGGGTACATTGTTTATATCATAAGTATAACTTACACTTTACGACTATTGGAAAGTTGCGTTTCCCTTATAACTATAAGTAATTCAATTTCCAATGCATGCGAATTATTACATTTAGCAATGCCATTCAATATCTTCTGAGTGTCGTAGGTTAAAAACATGTCTAGTTGTATACGAGTAATTCCTTGAATTGTTGACGGTTGATAAGTACACAACTATATGCAAGATTAGAGCAATAAAGTACTTTAAAGTTTAAATCCAACACATGTATGATAGGTATAACAAACACAAATCTTAATTATCCAAAGCAACGGTGACATATTTTAATGCCTTTTTATACTTATGATATAGCCAATGTACCCAGTATGTAAATTCTATAATTAGAGACTACAAGGTTTGAGGACATTGCCGTTGAAAACTCCGTACATCTACTTCAAGTTGTAAACACATTTTGTTTAGGATCAGTGGCGTGGTGGCATAGTTTTTACTGCGGTGGCCAAAACAAATTTTGCGCCCCTTTCACCTTTTCTTATAGCTATTTTCATGTATTTTAGTTATTTTTATTATATAAAACACAAACATGAATCTTCATAAAAAAAGAAAGTAACTTAAAAACCAAGTATTATCAAGCTATTATATGTTTGTTACGTTATTTGTTTTTCATAGTAAAAAACATTTATATTAATACCTTTGCAAGCGTTTGGGAGGTTTTCCCACGTAGTTATGATTCTATCTTTGTCGATAGAAAGGAGAGTTTCCCTTTCAACTCCATTAAAAGCAATGATTCCAAGCGTCCCTGTACCACCGTAGATCGAATCCTCGTTTTTACCCTCTTCAGCGAAGAAAAAGAACGTTCAGCAGTTGCTGAGCTAATGGGTATGGCCACTGCAATTGAATAAACTTTGCATAATGTTGAGTATGCGTCGACTAAATGGTACTTTGGAAAACAAAGCAGCTTCAAGGCATCTAAGAATGACGGAATTTTAGCCTTCTCGGTAATTGACGCATTATTCCAATGCTTACTTATCTCAGTATCAGAATGATTTTCATCATCATCATCATCACCATCACCAACATCAATACTTTCAAAGTTCAGCTCATTATGATCATGGTCATCTTGAGTTGTAACCTGAGAACAGTCAAATCTTTTAAATGTTTCTGAAAAGCTTAACAGTTCAGTAGCGCATCTGTGGGAACCTATTTTATACACATCACAAAAGGCTTTCACTGCAGATTGAAGATCGTGAGAGGTCTTGTACTTGCTCGAGAGCTCGTCAAATTGATTAGGTGTGAATAAAGCAAATGATTTCATTAGTGGTCGATTCTTTTCAAAACGATTCTTCATTGAAGATTGAATAGAATCTAGCACTTAATAAAATATGTTTCGCCTCCATTGTGCTTTTGGTGAATCTGCCAAATCATCTCTGGCTTGTTCTCCGTCCATTGGTCGTCGACGATGAGGTCATGTAGACCTCCATTCGACATCTAACGCAAAATAATCGGACACTTCAATGGTTTTTTCTGGTTTGTCACGTATGATCTGAGTTCTAGAAATTAAGCTATTAACCATATCAATTGCTTTTCCATAGTCAGCATTTACGCTCAGTAGATATCGACTTAAAGATCCAGTAATTCCAAAAATTTCTTGGAAAAGACAGGCAGTCGCAACAAATTTCTTTGTTTAAAAAGCTGAATGCAATCCATTTGCTGTTGCTCGCTGACTTTCAGTGAATGAACTATCCTCAGCCACTTTTTAGAGCACTCGCATGATGCACTCGAACCTCAAAAGAAATACGTTTAGACGAAATTCTCTTGCATTCCATCGAACTGAATTAGGACGTTTAAAAGAAAAAATTTTGAGATTTTCATTCTTTTGAACCAATTGAAACAATTTGTGTACTTTTTGAGAATTATTGAAGAGAACGTGCAGTTTTTCGAGATAGTCAAAAAGAGTAATGACATCAATAGCAACACAAGCTGAATCGGACAAGACGAGATTTATGTTCTTTGAATTGCCATTAAATTCGTTATAAAATTTTCGTGTTATAAACACTTCAACCTGCTTTAAAGTACTGTTGTTTTACTGTTCTGGGTAATGTATACTTCACGATCTGTGTAATTTAAAAATAGTACATCGGAATCGAAATGCTAGAGGGTGATTTCAATATTAAATTTGTTGGGAATCTGTCCAAATACAGTTTTACTCAAACCAACGATGACAAAATTAAGGATTCTATTACGAAGTGTAGGTGGTATGAATGACAGATATTAAAATTCAAAGCAACAAATCTTTTACAGTAACAGATAATCACGTACATCATAGAGAAAATGGAGGTTTCCAGTCAGAAGAGAGATGTATTATGTATTTACATCATAGTCAAAACCTAGTGTTTTTTAAGGGCGTTGAGAAAGTTTGGCAGTATCTTAATTAAAGCACTGCAAGATTAAGAAGGGCCCCCTAATCATTCCCGTGCAGTGCTTAGAAATAAAACTGTAAACTATCTTGTACTACCCTTGTAGCTAGATATAGTAAAAGTCAGATATTTCCTGAATCTTCTCTTTCCAGCTCACGATGAGTATGTTTGAGATTGTCTTTGATGAGTTAAGTTAAATACGAATAAAGATCTTTGGGCAACGTATTGCGTTTTATTATTGAGTACATTTTCGTCACTGACTAACATGTTCTTTTAGACAAAGATTCGAGAGACTACAACAACTCTAACTCTTTCTATGTTAAGGTGGACGTCATTTCAAACGCCCAACTATGTTATGCTGTTGAACCTATATATTAAGCTGTCATTCGTCTCAAAAGTTTCGTAAAACAAAAACTATTTTTTTGCTAACAATACTGTACAAAATTGTACGGTCAACTCTATTTTCCTTTCACAATTTTCACTGTCTTGAAACTGTTTGATGATATTGTTATGTATGTAATAAAATATCTACGCAAAGCTTAGGAATAAAATAAAGTTTTAAGTAGTTTCGACCTCATTTCTGGAGACAAAAAGAGTCTTTGACGCGTTTTGTAGCTTTCACATTGAAAATAATGAACAGTGTGTAATAGATGTTTGTAAATGTAGATCGTCCAGGTTGGTATAGTCCTGAGAAGGACTGTTTTTTTTTGTTGTTGACTGACGTTGCAACAAAGATTAGCGGTAGTCATCTTCAGAGTCAAATGAGGAGTAAACGTCAGGTTAGCCGTATTTGTTATCTGATACTTACGTCATTTTTTTGTGTGTACTGTCAATTGTGTATTGTCATTGTAAATTAGTGTGAAGTGTAATGTTTTTAGTTGATCGTTTGTTTGTATTGTGAATAAGTTGTTTGTAAGGTGCCGGTAATTGCTGTGATCTGTTCAGGGGGGTTTGTTTCAAGTTGGTATACCAACTTTCTAATGTAAGCCATTGTCTATTGTCAGTACTTTAAGTAATGCATTTTGCCGAGTCCCAGTCAATGTTGTGCTTTGTGATTCGGTGATGTTCGGCAATGTGATTAGTTTTGTCTTGTTTCTTAGTAGCTCGTTTGTGTTCAGTAAGTCTTATGTTTAAGTTCCTACCAGTTTCCCCGATATAGGAGGCGTGGCAGTCGGAGCAGTTTATTTGGTAAATTACACCTTGTCGTTCGTTGGGTTGTTCGTTAGTACTTGTCGTAACGTTGCGATTGGCTTACGTGCGACACGTATGTTGTGTGGTCGTAAGATACGCGAGATAGTCTCAAACGTACCTTTGATGTAAGGTATCGTTGCTGTTGGCACTGAGTTGTTCGTTTTGTTTGGTTCGTTGGGTTTGTAAGTGTTGCGTTTGATAAAGTCAGAGTTATAGTTGTTTTTGTCAAAAACATGTTTGAGATAGCTGTTTTCGTTGTGTAAGGCGTCCGGTAAATCACATATGATTTGTGCACGTCTTGTTAATGTTCTGATTGTGGTGGCTTTGTGTGATGTAGGGTTGTAAAAACAAAAAGATAAAACATTTCACTTCACACGATTTCACAATGACAATAAACAATTGACACCCACACATTTCCTGTACACACAATACAATTTCACCTGAAATTAACCACCCAGGCAATCAAATCATCACAGAATAAGTAATAATATTAAGGTATTTAAACAACAGACCCGCATATCGTGTATACGTTTTATTGGCTAACATACTTATGGAATCATTTTATTATGTATAAATAATTAAATAATTAACTAATAAATTGCTTAAAAAATTAAACAAAAATAATTGTATACTTTTAAGGAAGAAAACCATGCAGAATCATTACGTGAATAACATTACCAAAGAACACAAGTCTTGTTTGGAGATTTGCAGTTGAAGGCTTTATTGAACTGTGGAAAATTTACTAACGGCACACGCACTCTAAAATACAAAATTCATTAGAATGTATTTAAGAATACAACAGTTACGAAAAAACGACATTTTCATCATTTTATGCTTCCAAAATTATCAGGAAACAATTCAAACAAACATCCAAAGGACAAAAGCTCGTTTACTGCAGTATTTTTAGATCCGCGTGGCATAAACTTTTTCCTTATAAGTACCAAAATGGATCACGATCGTTGACATTGTTTGATTTACATTATTACGTATAATCGTAAATTAAATATATATCTTTTCCACGATAGTAAAGATCGAAAACTCACGTGGAAATCCATCACATGATTACGTGGAAATCCATCATTAAAAGCCAATCATCCTGATCACGTACCAGATATCATTAATAATAAGGAAATTATTGCGTAATGATATTCCAATCATCACGTGATCACGCGGAAAGCCACAGTTATAACTTATAAGGCAATCGTGCTGATCATCAGAAACTATATGGGACGATTATATGGAAACCATGCATATGTTGGGTGAAGGTAAGGTTTGAAACTGATCTCCTTGAAAACCTTATATAATGTTGAATGTTACTTTGATGCATGCATTTAGAACAAGGACTTGTACAGTTTCTGCCTTCATCTCAAACTATGCAGGTTAACACCAGTCTCTCCGGTAGATAGTTTTCACGCTTTCTTCTGGATCAACATGGCAATGAAGGAAGCGGCCATATTGGTCATTGCAATGTGTATTACATGAATTTGAAGCCTTAAGGCCGCCATATTGAACAGTCTCACTTCACGAGGTTGCATACATAGTGGTTACATATTAATTTCTGCCATGAAAAATTGCAAGAAATGTCTCTTATAGTGCTTTGACAAAACTGCTACTTATTAGTTTAACAAGATTAGGTGTCTAAAGCAGTTGTACTGTTAAGAAAGGATTTATTCCAAAATTTGCGTGACACCATTTGAGAGGTACTATCGCAAGAGAATGCTTCCATCTTCACTTTGAAAGGATTTTTGGGTTTACTAGTACAAAGCGCGCCAAATTTCATAGCTATCGCGGTTTTTTATCATAGATTACTCTTATGAGTGGGACTGTTTAATATGGCGGTGCATCTAATTATAGCTGTCTACTTTCAGCTTCAAACTTTTGCGCTCACCATATTGGGAATGCACCATCAATGCAATATACATATCAATGATATCGGTGTACCAAACAAAAGAATTCACCAAAGTTGTTTTTCAATTGGAGCACCACCATGGCGTCCATGACGTCAGGTGAAAACAATACATTAAAAAAACGAGAAAACATTAGCACGCATGCATATGGTGTTTTTACCTGGCTGGATGTAAAGCATGTCTGGCGAATCGCATGATGAAGTCTATAAATTTGTCGCGATATATCGTACACCATTGCTAAAAAAGAGAAAAAACATCATATGGGGAATGTAATGGCTCAATATCTGCGCTCGTTCTTCCATGAGCACGATCAAGACAACTTTAGCGATATACAAAGTTCGATCGCAAAAGCGTTTACAAAACACGAAACACGGAAAACGGAATAACAGAATTAAAGAAACCAAAATTATGGAAGAAGAAAAAACGTACACGCGACATGCCAGAAACACATTCAGGGGCTGCATGATTACATTGAATTAAGTACTGACTCATTTCAATGACTCAAAACCATTTTACTCCTAGATGAATCTTGGTAAGCCGGGATCATGTATAGAGCCCCTAAGATACGATCAACAGCCGCAGCACTTAGTCATTAATAACCACCTTTGAGCGCTTAAAGCATGGATGAAAAATCAAGTTTGGCATAGAAATACATAAAGAATAGGTGTACTCATTAACAAAAAAAAGTTGTTCAATTTTGTACAAATTAAACTGGAAGTTTGCTAATGTGTTTTGAATAGCGTAGTTTTCCTAATGTGAAATCCTCAACTCACTAAACAATCCAACCAAGCTTCCCCAAGAAAGCTTCAAGGAAATAATCATAAATGATCATGTTTGTATTTAATTAGAGTGTCTACAACTAGCTACAAGTTTTACCTGAGCATAAGAAAGGAAGAAAAGTTGTTCGTCGTTGAAATCTAATCCAGGTAATTTCGCCTGTTCTCCATTAGTTTCAAGCCATCTCTTGTACGCCTGTTGAAGAGAAGACAATTTACAGAAATGAAAATGAATTTGTATATGTAAGAACTTCACATTGAGAGAAACGCAATTGTAGCTATATTATAGAAATAGTTCAAATTGTTTTCGATTCCATTGGGCACATTGAAAATCCACGATATTCCTTCCTGGTGGATTTCTACTTCAATTGATTTCAACTATCATACTTCAATGGAAAGAACTGGATGAAATTATTTTTGGCAAGATTTTTATCTCGATTTTGTTTTTCGTTCTTTATTTTCAAGATAATAATCGTTTATTAGAAGGAAAGTTTCTTGAACGTGAAATCGGAGTAATTTTAACTTCCTGCAGATTTTCTACATCATTTTAGAGCGAGGTAAAGTTTTCAGTCCTTTCGTAGCAAAACTTCAACAAAATACACGCACCCGTACTTCTTCGTCAAAACGCGAAAAACGAAGCCCTTCCCAAGTAAATTTTAAGCAAATTTAATATTAATGTCAGCAAAGTTGAAATCAAACGAAGCAATTGCAAACAGTGCACTGATTGGTCTGACACAAAATTTGTCCTTTGCATTGTTATTTATTCATGTTTTGCTTGTTTATTTATTTATTTATTTATTTGGTTGTTTGTTTGTTTGTTTGTTTGTTGATTTAAGTGAATGAATAGACAGTGAACATGTCAGCGATCATAGACATTGAACATGCAGTGTACCTAGGCAATGTACATGAATACTCATATACGCAGTGAAAATAGATAGTGAACGAAGGCAACATGCATGAATACTCATAGGCAGTATACATGAATACTAGTAAAAGCAGTAAACATAGGCATTATACATAAATAATATAGACATGCATGCCGTCAGTCAATTTATTGGCTTACTCGATAGGCGTATTTGATTCCAACAACATCAGCAATATTTTCAGAGAGTGTCTGATTCCCGTCTATCTAAAATAGAACATGCAAGAAGTTCATAAATCAATACAAGAGCGATAAAGGAGCGATTAGGAGGTTTACGAACGACGCCGTATCATCACCAGTGATTCCCTCATTATGATAGAACGATGAAGAAATGTCCAATACATGAAAAACATGAAGATGTAAACATAAAGAATATCGACAACAACGTGTCAGGGCTCTGGAGATCACTCACCCAAATAATTTATCGGGACTACCTACCCTCCCATGTTTCAAGAGACCACATATTTTAAATAGAATTATAGCATCATTCAGCTGTAAATCTTTTTCATAAACTTTGCTTCCTCTGGCAAGCATGGGCATGCACCATGAGAAAAGACTGCATCGCAGACGTTTGTAAATTCCTCATAAGGAATGGTTATCGTCTGCTGATCGAAGACAGAATTCTTGTGCTTGCAATTGATTTTCCATTGATATGGAAAAAAGATTTGATTGGATGGCTAATTTATTCATACAAACATATACACGCGCACACAAACAAATTCCTGGCGTAGGTAACTAAGCAAATATATTTTGAATGAATTAACCATCAAAATATGCGTGTCAACCATTGCACGCTTTTGTTTATGTTTACACCGCTACTTTTAGATCTTACTGCACACTGAATGCAATTTTAACACTACTTCGCCAAATTTATCTGAAAACTTTGCAAAAGAACATTGATAAAATTCTATTTCACATTAATTATCATCGTTTGTCTAAGTTGCATGGACTACATGTACAAATCCGCCATTTTCTCGACCCACAAAATGGTTGTCAGGTTGTGACCAACGCACAATGCATCATGGTTGTCACACGTTCTTTAAGCACACTAGCCAATCAAATTCATTCGCAATATAACATCACAAGAACAAATTCTGTCTACATTTACCAGACGCCTACTATTCCTATCATGAATTAACAAGCGTCTGCGACGCAGGATATTATTAGAAAATCACCAACCTTTCTGCCGTAGACATACGTATTACTGTACAGATCAACCAAGCATTGTGTTTTCGCAGTGTAATTCTTTATTGTCTGGTCTGTCATCCATTGTCTCCGATTTCCGTATTCATCATAAAATACTCCTAACGGAAAAGAGAAACAAGTTTTCATCAAATATCGACAAGACTTATACGCCGAAGAAGCTTAGCATAGGCTATTTTGAGATCGAAAACTTAAATCGGCCATGTTGGAGGACTACATCAAAGTGCCGATACCCGACCGAGCATTCTTTTCACTATATGGGATTTTCTTTAAACATGGCGTCCGATGCGAACATCCTGTTGATTTATTATAATTTGAAACTATTTTTTATGAAGCTAAAAGTTAAGTGACGAACAAATAACACGAAAACATCATCGATTTCTAACTCAATTTGTCGCTCCGCAGTTAAAATTAATCAAGTGTACAATACGAGCTATTAAAACGATCACCGATGATCAGTTTTCGCAAGATTTTTTCAATGTACAAACCAAGCAAAAACTTCATATGAGAAGGAAATTACCACTATTATCAAATCCGTGAGCGATTTCATGAGCGATAACCACACCAACGCCACCATAATTGAACGACCTAATCAAATGAATTCAATAGCGATTAGTGAAAATGGAAATTCTCAGCGAAATAGTTAGAACTCAATAACATCCATCGACAGTGTCTTACAAAGAAACTGAAAGAAATAAAGCACACGTGTTTCATTAATGTAAGTAAACTAACATTCTAGTAGCTACATCATTCGGAACGACCCCTTCCTTCAGACAGCCAACCAGGCTGTTTGAAAGCAGGGGTCGTTCCGAATAATGTAGCTACTAGGATAGCAAGGAGCAGGGCTAGACATACATTGTCTATGGAAAAAGGATTTTTGATAGAAAACTAACATTCCTCTGGAAGCCGACTAACTATAACCTTGGCAATTTGCTTTGACTTAACGTGATATCAGTTTGCAACTACTTCGCCAAACTGAGAATTATTCTTATAGGAGATGTGCTACTCACTTAGTCAATGCAAAAATTTTCATACTTGACTGTCTTATAAAACTGTAGTCAATTTAGTATTATATCAATCACTCCTGACAGGCCGAGAAAATTGTCCCTACTATTGTTTTGGAACGCTTCAGCTATAAGAGAACAGTGAGAAACCTTCACCTCAAGGGCTGACGCAAGATTGAGGAAAATTGTCAATATTGATAACCCACAGCCGACCCCCCCAATTTTTCATCCCAATTTTTTTATCCTAGGTGATATCTTTGAAGCTGAAATCTTTTTTGTTTTCCACGTCTTCATTAGCACCATGCACTTGTTTGCTTCAGTCGTCTTCAAAGTTTCACATCAAAATTTTGCTAAATCTTCCCTTATTATTTAATTTTAACATCTTTAAACATAAACAACGCCACACTCATTCGTTCTCAATGGTATTTCTCCAGTTGCCAGTTTTTCCGTTTGTCTTCTTCAAATTCACTTTTTTCATCGAAATGTGTCTCACTTTTTCCTGGAACCTCAGTTGTATCAATGCTTAGCGTTGAATTGTTATTTTAACCAAATTAGGCTACTTTATATCGTCGTATAAAATTTCCATCTTAATTTCACGGCAAGAAATGACCCCGCACAACCATGCTCTCCCATAGATATCCATGATAAAGTTATTAATCACATTCACTTACATTAACTGCTCAGGTCCATAAAACGGCTTGGTCAAAAGTCCAAGGAAAATAACTAGAAAAAGATAAAACAAAGTTCAAACTTGGGGTGAGCAAGAAGTCAAAGCCAATGCGTCATCTACAGGGTCTAGCTACTCAAGAAACTCAACAGTGGAACGGATTAATCTGTGAACCGCCGTTTTTACGCTTTGAACTGACGAAATGAACAGATAAAACACCGATGTTGTTAGACTTCTTCTTACTACACTATCAGCTTTCTTAAGTTTTGTTTTGAACTGTCATTTTTTTGAGAATGTCGAAGAGAATATTGCAAAAAATGTTTGTACGAGTCTTGATACATATGAAACATTTGTTTATTCAAATATATCTGTTAACATTTTTAGTTTTCCGACTAACACAAACGCAAACTGTGTTAAAAGCGAAATAGTTATCTTATTTTCATCTTTATTTTCAGAGAGGCAGTTATGTTACTATCTTGTTCATGCCGAAAGCTGCCTCTGTTATCAATGAGCATCAACCTTGATGGGAAGCTGCTTTTCTGTAGAGAATACGTTTAAATTAGTCTATTAATTCACTCCCAAGCTTCGCTTGGCCATTAAACCAAATAAATATGTATTAGTCCAAATAATATATCATAGTCAGCGTGACCAGACTTGGTAATTTTAATTACCATATCCGATCTGGTGACCTTAGACAACCACAACTGATTAAATAATTGCAAGATTTGAAACAGGGGAAGTGTTCTGCGCGGATCAACGCATTTTTCAAATTAAATTATTCATGTATGGTCACACTGGTTATAGTACTATCCTTAATGCATGTGTCTTGTCATATTTGGGCACAACACGACTTTTGTAGGTTATCATAGTATTGCCACTATCATAGTCGTCTTCTCAGTTGTTGTCATTGTTCTCAAAGTCGTCTATAGAGCAACACGTCCTGAAATTATTTTTTTCTGCATTGAAGTGCCTGCCTTTCTACTGTACTTTAAATTTCCGAGCAAAGACTACCCCAATGCAGAAATGGTAGATAATTAAGTTTATTCAAATATGCTCACCGCGGCATTTAAAGTTTTATGCAATATATTCAAGTAACTGCACACTCAAAAACTTGGCGGTAACTAAATTTGTGTACTTACCTACTCTGTTTATGAATGCATAATAAGCAGCGTTCACCCAAGTAGGAGGTATTATAAACCTATGGCATAAAGCAAACTTGTTATTAAAAAGGTATTGAAGTTCGACGTAGAGAACAGAATTTTGCGGACATGAAAGATGCTCCACGGTTACTCAGTTCGATCTTTAAAATCAAACTATAAAAACGTTGAATAAAAAATTTCTGTGTTCCGGCTCTTCATTAGTATTGGTGTCATAAAATGTCTACCGTCCAAGCCAAATGATTTTTATTTAGAATGAATGATTTTGAAAAAATCTTAGTTTTTGTTTTCGAAACATTGGAAGACATTTTGGCCAGACAAGTGAGAGGACAGCATATATTCTCGATTAAAAAGTACGTTCGTATGAGGGATTACTCATTTTAAAACTATCCTATAAACATCCTATAAATTAATTGTCTGAAAAAGTCTTGAGTAAAGACGAAACGTCACAATAAATTCAAATTTACAATTTTTGGTCTATTTCAATGGCTCTAATTAAAACTTTATGTTGGGCATTGATTTTTATTACACGAATTTTAAAACTCTTTTATAAGCAAATTCAAAATGACAAATTATTTAAAAAAAAGGTACAAATCTAGAATCCTATAGGCTACTTAAGTCTAGTAATTGCCAGGTTTATCGAAAATTTTATTGTTACACACTTTGTTAAGTTTCCCGCTTATAGTACATTGATTGTTTCTATGTAAGCACTATAAGTGCATGTAGCGCTTTCACAAATAGCAATTGGTAATTGAAATTTATTCAATCCAATATTTTTGTCTCATGGTATTCTATTGATTTCTGTTGTTCTTGGCTTTGTTGTGTTACTAGCTATAGTAGCATTCCGATTAATTGAAACGCTTTGCTTCCAATATAGAGAATGCTTTTTATTAACTTTATCATGCATTCGATTGGTGACCGCTAGTTGAAATATAAACATGTTGAACGAAGATGACATGAACCAGTGGCGGATACAAGGCTTCGTCGACATAGATCATAGCTGCTCGATTAAATTCATTCAAATCTGAATTTATGAAGAATATTGCCAAATGCCAATAGTGTTGCCTCAAGGTATTGGGAAATGTAAATTAATGTTCTAATATGAGCCGCAGTAATTTATTTTGACGTAGCTACCCTGGATCATCTACTGAAATGAATTCTATCTTAGCTATAAACGATGCACTTACCCTGTATTGTCAGGTGGACTGTCCATAGTCTTCAAGTAATTATCAACGAAATGGGCTTTTAAAACTTTCAACGTATTTTCAAAGAAGTTAATGTCGTCCACAAGATACTACAAAAAATAACCACGATGTTTGAACCGATCCAACTATTGTTTGTAGAACTGGAGCAACATCATTTAAATGATGAATGCAAATAATGAACGCATTTGATACATTTGTTTGATTTGATTTTGATTTGACTTTGTGAACCATAGACAAGCAACGTAACACTTTGCTTATGTGGCAGAGTTGATTCATACTGGATCAGAATGCTTATGGATTAATGAAATTGAACTGAAGGCAAGAAAAACTGAGATCCAAAAATCTCATCATGCATGCGAACTGCTTCACCAAGGAGCCACCTGTGTGAACAATTGGGAGTCAAAGAACGCATTAATTACTTACGTTTTCGTACTTTTTGTTCAATTTAGCGGTGTCTTTCACAAATATAGGATAACCAACGCTTGCGTTCATTTTCATCAACTAAAAATGCACGAAACTGTTAAGAAAATTACTGTTCCTACAGCAGTTTTGAGGCTTTAAGCATATAGGACATAGCTGACTTGAACAAGTTTTAATTCCTTCGAAATTCGCTACAGTTTATACCTTCAAACGTGCTCCAGCTCGGCTTTTATCATCCAACCAATCGACTTCATTCAATCCTTCAAGAAACTGCTTTCGTATTTCATGGAAAAGATCAAACACCTATAGAATAATAACAAATATCCCAACTCACGGGGGATAAAACATGTCTAATTACTGCAAATAATTGCTGTCAACATAATATATAAGAATTTCAACAGCACATTCTCGCGTTATGTTACAGATTTTCTGTTCTTGCTCTTACTTAACCTCCCTCAGTTTGCAGGACAATAAATCACTAATATCCCGAAAACATGCGTTTACTTATAATAATAACAATAATATAGTTGCCTTGGTTTCTTCTACTATTACAGCAACATTTACTAATGTATTCCCTCCGCGATATGGGTATCAAAGATATGTAGTTCTAACCTTAAAGCTTCGTAAGATTAAAGTCCCTCAAGCTGCACCTTCAGACTGTTACTTTTTTTCGCGGTTAATGCCCCTGAAAGCACGCGTTTATAAAAAAATCTCGTACCTGCTGCTTGGCATTATCGGGAAAATATCTTTCAGCGTAAAACTTTGCAACGGGATACATGAAGTGTAAATTCGTTTCGTCGACACATTTTCTCCGTCTGGACGGTGGAGCTTCGACTCCTGTTAGTGCTCTGAAGAAATCGTTATGTGCATCTCGGAATCTCTTGGGTAATGCATGTATCATACTATTCACAATATACCAGGTGATTTCGTTGACTATCATTCTATAAAACAAAACCATACATTTGAAAACAATTCTCAAATAACGTTCGAAATATTATAGAATAGCTATAACATATGCACTGTACAATATGGAACAAAGAGAAACGTGTATGAAATTTCGGAAATATTTACCTATTTTGGTTACACGGTAAAAATTAATTTTCATAGATATAGTATAAATGTACAGTTGTAATACTACAGGATATTGATATAGTCTTGGAAATGTGGCTTTTTCCCAATGTAGGAACGGTCACTGTCATTATAACTACTCTAGTCTATAGTTTTCATTCGCCGATACTTTACTAGCATGGGAAATATATTCAAGCACTACTAAATAAGATCAAATTAAACATACAGAGTAATGAAGTTAACTAAAGAGCTGATCATTCTTTACAAAAAATTTCCAAACCATACGTTAATAAAAATTTGGCATTTTTGTATGTTTTCATGTTAAATATACACATGAAAGTTCAATAATCGTCATACTAGACCATTGATCATTGATCATTAATTACATAACTGTCATTTCCGCTTGTAAATATTATATAAAAGTTTCGCAGCTTGCATTGTAAACTATAAGTCTGATGATGACTTTGGAATAAAGACGAAATATTACACCATCTTTTGTTTTAAACTCTTGTACTATCTTGAGCATCAAGAAAACGAAATTGTCAACCAATCATAGTAAGTGGTTTACCATCGTTTCAGGATGTACTACAGCTTAAATTATGTTTGAGAGACTGTCAATCTCTGAAAAAAGGCAAATCAAACATTTTAACGTGTTCTCAAACTTACTCTGTTGGATATTTAGCCAGGAAGTTTGCAATCAACTTCAGCTTTCCCGGTGTGAAAACAAGCACTTGTGTATCTTTATCAACTGATTTTCCAACGACGCTCAGAACTTCATTGAAATAAATCGTCCAGTTGAACTACAAAAAACAATACATTACGTAATTTTCTTGATTTTAAACAAAATCAAGCATGCGCTCTATGTATTCAATGCTAAGCGCATTGCAGGTTTTTTTTTATCATGCGATTCAAAATCAATTTATACCACTCTAATTGATAAAAGTAGCTAACTACCACCTTTTAGCATTTGAATATTTATATTATAAAATCACGAAATCAAAGTAATCAAAATAAGCTTCAAAAAAACTATGTAAAAAAGCAATTCTGTTAGCTGCATGATCTATGACAAAAGAGCACAATTAATTCTAACCGCAAAACCACAAACAAGCCAAAGAAGTGGTAATCTCTATTTCACTAACACATTGATATGATTATTCAAAGTATATTGATACTTTAGCGTCGATCCACATACCATAAGAACACAATGTGCAGTTGTAAGCACATAAGAGTGTTAGTATTAAATATAACATCCGAGCGAGGATACATAAGAAATTTCTTTTTCCAGCAACGTGCTTTGAGCAAACGTTAAATTTAAGTTACAGACATCGTAAAAGGAAACTAGAACGAAGGGCCGCAATAAAAAGTTGATTTTCGTCCTCCAGCTTCTCTTGAAGTGCATGCATGTGAACATGACAATTTTTTCATAGCTAGCTACAACCAACAAAAGACGGCCGAAGAAAACTGCAATAATACAAGTTAATTGTTCACGATGACATGCAAGACAGTTTTTCTATCGTTTCCTACTTAGCAATATAAAAGGTAATTCATTTCTTAGGAACTATCAAGAAATCTCCGTAGTTTTTTTTTTCTTAGACGGAAATGTAATAAATATACTCAAATGATCGTTAAGTTGCTTGTTCATGTTTGACAGTGGCTAAAATAGTCTGTTCTGCAGTGTTTTTTATAACTATCGATTTCATGACATGAACTTGATCTAGGAAAGTGTATTAGGAAATCGCAATGTCAGCTATAAGTGAAAAAAGACTTTGTTTGTTTTTTACTTTTAATGCTGTCCACCGTTGGCCGTAAAAGTCAAAACAAATAACAACTTCTGCATGTCCAATGAGAACACAGATACGGCATTTTTCATGAGTGAAGAAAAAGTCATACCCTTAGAATTCTTAGGCATATGCTTTTTACTTCGCTACTATGTGCATAAAACTCAATATACTCGTATGATTAAATGCGATATTTCAGGTAATATGTAATTTCAATAGCTCAGAAAGTTTCTAACCTTTCCATCTGTGTGGTTGTTCAGCTCGGCTACAGTCATCATAGTGTAATTATCTGTCCCGTTCACTTGACGACGTAACTACAAATTAAATTTTAAAAGTAAAGTTCTTAAATCAAAATCGAGATAAGTTTGACATACTGCAAGTATACAAAGTAGTAATCTTTTATTCAACGCGTATTTCCATGCATGATCTCAACCATTAACATAAAGTGCACTGGGTAGCGCCGCAAAGGGTGTAAAGAGGGGAGTGACTTCCCCTTCAAATTTTCCCAGACTTAAGACTTATAAACTTAAAATGTCAGTGATATCAAACAATGCGTAATGCATCGATAAGTGAGATTTTGGGATTTTTTTCCCCTTTCCCCCTCTCAAATTAAGTAATAAAATTCTGCCGGTACTACTGAATGCTTTTTGCTATATTTCAATCTTAGCTATTTGTCTTGAGGGCAAATGCATATGATATTCTTTGTCATGAACCTGAATAAAGTAAAACACATTTCAAGAAAACTCACACCATCCAACATACGCTTTAAAGTTATTTTTATGTTACAATAACGATGTTTTGGACGATATTATTTCATAAAATGGCTTCGCGTTTGTCATGTTAATCTGTTCAAAAAAACAAGCCAATGGAAGTGCAAATAAATTCTTCGCTGCGCGGATAATATCAAATAATCTCTCAGTTAGCTACTCACCCGTTGGAATTCATTTTCCATTTGCAGAACACTTTTGACGGAGATGTTAATTCCAAGTAATTGAAAGGTCGTGTTCATAAATTGCTCGTAAGGCGATACTTTCGAGGTTCTATTCTAAGCGATACAATGTATTTAAAAAAATTAAGAAATATATAATCACCAATTTCTGCTCACGGTTCGGTAAAGAATTAGCACGTCCAATTTATAAAATACAGATAAGCTTCTAGCTCGTCAATAATCTATCGGAAGGAATTGAGATTAACGTACTTGCAGAGCTTCATCATTCATTGTCGCCATCTTTATCATACCAACATATCCACTAGTAACCTGAAAACAAAACGACACTTCGTTGATACTTAAACAAAGCGATAAGATGTTACTACTCATGGTATTCATAGCGAAGATCGTGATGATCTCATCCACTGATCAAAACAGATTACACAATGTGCTCGAGCAGTTGCAATAAGATTTTAAAATTCATATGACATGTTAGTTCGGCAACATGGCAATGGAAACGCGTACAGTACCCAATATCTATGGAGGGTCTTAACTTTCTTGAAAGTTGGCCAATCTTACGCTATTGGGCTGAACTAGCGCAATTCATTTTCATGATACAAAAGGACCAACCATTGAAAACATTACGATGCAAAACATTCAGCTGTTCCCTGTGCGCACGACTTGTGTACAATATGTTTTCCAGAGCAGAAAACATTGTAATAAACACTTACAGCAAATTTGTTACGAGATGTATCATACGGCAAGCGCCTGACTCCACAATCAAAAAACACCCCATCGCCAAAATTGGTCAAGACACGACCCAAGATTCTTTCGAGAGTCCAGTTTGCATTTATAGGAGTAGAGATGTATCTCTTGAGCAAATTATGTATGAGACGTAGATCAGAATTTTCAATGTACTTTACATTCATGCACGAAGTGTAAAAGTCAAACATTTTGGCAACAGCGGAACCAGAAATCTGTAAAAATTAACATTAAACATATATTAATGACCAAGCGTCTTTGATTGTAAAAACGGCCTCTTTTCTTCTTTGCTTATCAACCCACTCCTGCTTCCGACGGGTCGACGCTTCGGACATCGCATAAAAGACACGTCTCTGTTTAAACAATGCTAAGTACCTGGTTTCAAATAAAAATACCACATGCGACAAAAAACATAATATTCATTGGTAAAGGAGAATGTAATCAAGAGCCCAGTTAGCTAATTGCCAAGACCTTACATTTTTCGAATGACCTTTATCGAGAAAAGCTGCAATCCTGTCTTGAACTTTGTGAACTAAGATGTCAAAAGTTGAGAGTTCCTGGTATTCATCAGGAACGAAGTTATTTTCTATGAAACCTCCACAGCTGTACTGATAAATGTCGTCACACGGGTCAACTGATGTATTTAGTTTCTTTGATATTTCTGGAAACAAAACAAAAAAAAATGAAATTGGTCAAAGATCAGTTTAATAGGTTAAAAAAGAAATTTTTAGACTTGCTATAAGAGTGATCGGCGAAGAGTTGAACAAATAGTCGAACGTACCCGAAATCATTCATTCTTAAATAATCAAAAATATGATTTAGAAAAATTGTAAAAAGTTTCCTTTTCAAAAACGAAACGTTTAGGGTTGTAGCTATTTTAAATTATTTTTCATGGTATAACCGAATTTATAATGTGAAAACAACAAAACGTGTGCGCTGATTAATCTATAGCTGTGCTGCATTAGCTTGTGCATACCAGTCGCTGCTAAGCCAGTCAAAAATTAATCAATCAACAAAGACAAGACATTTTTAAAATCAATCATAAATACATTTACAGAAAAAGTTTGTTTTAAATTTGTCTGTCTCGCATTATTATCATTTTATTAAAGAAATGAAGATGCTTTTCATGTTTGCACTGGCTTATGCAGGCATCGGGGAGACGTTTTTCTGAGCTCTCAACCTTAGGTCTCGGGCTTGCACTAATCTGCTCTCAAGTTCTCCAAAAGATCTCCTTGGTTTACATAAGCCTGTGCAAACACATTAAACATCTTTTATTTCTAAAATAAAATTATAGGTAGTGTAATAGCAAGAACTGATGTAAAAGTGATAATGCTTAAACGAAATTATCCACTTTCCTTCCCCATCGATTAAAACAGTGCTAACTCCAAGACTGAATAACAGCCATCAACTCAAGCGATCCAGACTTCAGAGTTTCCCACCGACGTCAAAATGTAATTTGGAAATGGATGAGTAAATTAGTGGCTACATATTACATCATTAAAATAAGTTTCACCAAAATTTTGTTTTTAATATAATTGTACATAAGATTACTATATCCACTTCACGGTCACATTCATGCTTTATAACGTTGCTTACTTGGTTTTCAATTATTGAATGAGAAATGCCCTATGACAAAAATTTACTGAAAAATGTTCACTCTCGAGTATTCAATTTATTTGTATTAAAAGGAAATGAAATTGTTCAACGTCAGAAACACATTCAAATCGACAAAGTCTATTAGCTTAATAAGCTTTTACTCCGTATAGTTACCCCATTAAAGCAAATGAAGATGTCGTGATGAGCGAATCCGGTATAGCGTAAACGCAGCCTAAATCGTCAAAATTTCCTAGTTGAAGGTTGGTCACACTGCACTTAAGCTTTCGATGGTAAATTATTACGTAAATTTGGTGGTTAGCACATTACAACACAGCCGCCATTTTGGTGGTCAAATACAAAAGAATATTTTATAAATGCAATTGAAGGAACTAGCCGTCGTGGGCGGTCACATTGTATCATAATTCCGTGGAGGTTTGTTACAATCCAAGAATTAGCAAAGCAAATTTGAAAACTCTTCCACATATATTTTAGCTCCCTCGCTCTAACTGAGCTTCTTAATCATAACAAACCTATTCGAAGGCGGTACGTTATCCCTCAATGACTGCTTTATTGTAAAATTTTTTGAAAAAAATATCGCCAATGATCATGGAGGAAAGCTATTGATTGGTGTATATGAGCGTAATTTCAGTGACGCACTCAGTGAGTGGGAGAATAAGGGCGTTAGCCTTCATTTGCCTAACACATATGCCATTTTTCCAACCGAATTTAAAGCAATATATCATTGCATTCGTTAAACTTCCCTCCAAAAGAGTACAGTCATATTGCTTTGTATCGCAAATAGTGTGAGCGAGTCCGTATAACGTTTACAATTTGTCTTTAGATACAAGGTATCGTCATAAGAACATGTTTTCTAATATATAACGTGATTTTGCTTTTTCCAGCTTTATGGCTGTAGCATTCAATTTGCAATTTTCATCATTTTAATGTAAGAAGTTGTACTATATTCTATTGTGTTACAAGATTCTGTGATTGAGGCCCATTTAGCTTTGACGTTACGCGATTGATGGACAAGTACAACGCATCAACTTTTCTAAATTTCGTTATCCAACGCATGATAAAAAAATCAAAATTTCCTTGAACGACCGTTTTCACCAAGTTATGAGAAAGGGGAATTATTTCAGCGAATATTTAAACACAACGTGAAACAATAAGCATACTCTTACCTCCTGCGGTAATAACGCATGACTTCTCGTAGCACACGTTCACCATATCCTTATCTTCATGTTTTTTGTCGAGAGCGAAAAGAATGGCGAATGCACATGCCACAACAAGCAACAAAACAAGAAATATCACTAATATCGCAAGTAAAATTCTTGTTTTTGAAGGGCGACGTAGTTCTGTAACGAGATTGTCATTCATCAGAGGCGGTATATCCATGTTCGGTGAAGAGTATGGCAAATATGTAGCAAGGCGTGTTGCACGAACAATTTATAGATTTTCATAAATGATTATAAATCAGCTGTAAAACTAATTATCCCAATGATGAAAGTGCGTAACGGAAGTTGGGCGTCCCAAAAGCATCATATATTGTTTGGTTGATCGTTAAATAAATTCAGTCTAAATAGCTAATACAATTTGTTATTTGTAAATGCCCGTACAGTGCGTATAGTTGGTGTGCAGAGAAAAATAGAATGTTTGCCTTGTTGGATGGCATTTGACTTGCAAATAAGGAAAATCTTTGTTAAAATCATCCAACATAGCAGCTATGACGTAGCTTGCACATAAATGATATAAAATTGAAGCCAACTTTAACGCATCATAACTTCAAAAATATTGAATGAACTCAAGAAGTTCTTGCACTTTCGCAAACTTCGGCATAAGGACTTGTTATCATTCTTTTGTTTTTCTTTTGTGGCAGTGAACACGGTTTCAATGAAAATAGTCATGTTGGAAATTGCATATTTTCACCATTGCATAAGACTTGAGCAATGACCTGCAAAAATGAATCCCAGAGGAGCTTTGCCATTTAGAAACTTCAAAACGCCCAGCTTAAGTGTTATTGCACATAAATCACATTGTTTAAATTGCATTTATTGATTTTCTTTGCTGCCTTTATTGTTCACATATTTGTCAAAGCTTTCTTACACATCTCATGAATCATGACATTTTTCCAGAACAGTTACCAAAGAATATTTTATTAGTCGGACCGAATTCACCTACTATAGATACTGTGCAAGCATTCTCCTGGGGCCAGTTGTATAAAAACGTAGTTAACTTTAACTATAGTTGACGTTAACTACCGAAGTTAACTGCAAAAAGTGTAGTTAAAAAGTAGTTAAAAGCTTTCTACAACCGGCCCCTGGGAGTAAACGAACAATGGAATTTTTGCCATGTTCGATGACATTTGCATTGTATTCAAGGAAAATCCTTTCTTGAAATCATCCAACATCCGCTATGACGCAGCTTGCAACCTAAGATACCTCTTTTGTGAATTTCTTGTACAATTTTTGCAGTTAAAGTTTCAGTCACTTTGTGCTTGTTAAATTTTTCCATACTGCTCAATTGTTTCACCCAAGATATCAATATCAGAATTTGCCTTGTTGAGATAATTCTTTACAATCCATGTTATGGCAAAATATTTATTTGGTCGAAACGAAACATTAAATATTAATTTGGCAAACACATTAAATATTAATTTGGCAAACTGAAAGATGATAAAAACCAGCGTTTAGTGACGACAAAAACGAACCAGTATCTTCTTAATATAATAATCAAAATATAAAAAATGTAATAATTTTATTCACAATGTTCCAAGTTCTTTTCCAATATAATGGCTAACAATTAGCTCTGCGTTAACCAAAATACTTTGTATATAATGCATACCTGTTGGCGTGTCACTTCATGTATGTATCTTCAATTGGAGGTTGCTTTCTTCACTCTTCCAATAGCAAAAATACAGCAGGTACAATGTGTAAATTGCTCCTTTCTATCTACAAAGTTGACTTTTTTACATATAGTATACGAGAATTGTGCAAGTTTCTCCACTGTCAAAAATTTAACATGGTCTTTTTTCTCATGTAGACTGAAATGGTCAATTGTCTTCCCCATGCAGCAATTGTTTCTCGTGCACTGATAGTCAAAAATTTTGTTCAAACTAGGGTAGAGTCTACATTGACGGTATCTAAACGGATTGATCTAGCTACAGCTGTTCCAAGAAGTTCATTGCTTCATTCACTGCCAAATTCGAGTTTTAACATTGTTACATGGGGTAAGACCATTGAACCATGGAACGCTACCTGAAGCAAATAATTGAAGCCAAATCTTACATCAGACACGCGTGTCTGGGGTAAAATCACGGCTTCAAAAAATTATTAGGGTTTTGCACTGGGGTTTTGTATTACAGGTAGCGGCTCCATGTATTTTAGTTCATAGGGTAATACAAGGCAGGCTTGTCAACACTCAAAAATACTCTAAAGTCTAGAATTGGATGCAAAATTCTTTCCAAATATTCAAGTATTCAAGTATATTACCTTGCCTGAATGATTTCAAGTTTTTGGTAACAATGTTAAAGTGCGTTGTTCAATTCTAACCTTGTATGCTCGTAAAAGAATCTTCTCCGACTTTGACAAAATCAAAATCAAATGCTTGAACGAACTGTGTATATACAAAGTCAATTCCCACCTGAAATTTTGCACGCAAAAAACAGTTTGCACGCAAAAATAGTGTATATACATATTATTCTATATTTTGGCGTTTTTAACGCTGTTTTATTCTGCATTCAGTTCTTTAGATTTATTCATAGCCATATGTACAGCGAGGTCTGTCGTCTTATGAGAAATTATTGAGCTCAGTTCAAACAAATATATCGTTTAAATCGAAGTAATATATTGCTCAAAACATAACCTTACCTTTTACGATACTTGTCGAAAAAGAAGGACTCCATTTCCGCATCTTTTTGACAAAACTGGCCGTCATATTCATAAAAGCCGGAAGTCTATTCGTACCGTTTTAAACAGCAAACAAATAAACAAAAAAAGGCGGGAAATATTTTGATTGAAGATAAATAAAGGTACACAAGAATATTTTCATCAATGGCAAGTTTTTTTATGCCATGATAACATTTGTATGAACATTGATATTTGATAGAAGGGATTTTGCCTGTTTCTTGACAAGTGTGGAAAGAAAATTGCATGGGAAACTGCAATATAAATAACTTTTATCGAGTTCGCCTTTATTATTGTTATTAAAATAGTCATATAGGCCGTACGTAGATGGTCATATTATTCAATCAATACTAAACTATAAGTAAACTTATATGCACAAACTTTAACAAAAATACATGCTATTTTATTTTAAAGTTTATGTCAATGAACAGAACTATAGGATATATTTAATACATGTATGAAATTAATGAACAGCGGTGACAAACGTGATTACAATTTTCAAGACTGAATTCAAGATTTATTCTCTTCTTAAAAACCCAGTTTCAATCACAAATTTCGAACACATAAATACTTGGGAAATTTAAAAACAAAGACCAGTATTCTATTCGCACTCAAGCTTGTGGCGTCATTGGATTAAGGAAAAATATTCAGCATTGAGTTTCTTAAAATTAACTAACTAAAACAAGTGCCTATTACTTTGAAAGTAAAAAAAAACAGCATTAAAAGTACGAATTATGATGTCGATGGCATTACCAAAGAACACAATCGTGTTTTGGTGCTTTGCAGTTGAAGGCTTTGCTGAACTGTGGAAAATTTGATAATGGCACTCGCACTCTAAGAATATAATAAATATAATATAATCCAATTCAACCAAGGTCCAATCTAATTCAACCCAATACTATTAAATGAACTCATGAAACGTTTACAAATTTCGGGCTATACGCAGTCTGTAGGATAAAGAAAAAATGTAAACAAATGACCTGGTGTCCAAAAACATTTTTTCTCTCTGTTTTTGTATGTAAAATATGTTAAAAAACAAAATGTCCACCCATTTCTTTCCATTCTTAAAACTGTGCAGATTAACGCCAGTCTCTTCTATAAAAAACCACATGCTACATCCTACACAATATACATGGCGTTTTTACCTGGCTGGATTTAACGAGTGTGAGTCGTATTTCAAATTATAGTCGATCACTTCGCTGCGATATTTTGAGCACCAAGTCTAAAAGAAAAGAAACACATTGTTCAAAAGTTAATGTTAAATCGGATGCAGAGTTTGTTGGTTCATTCTTTGCTCGTTGTTCAACGAACCAGATACAATGAAACAAAGTTCAACGGCAAAAGTCAGCAAGATAGTTACAAAGTTCAAATGATAAAATCTAAAATAACAGACTAAAAGAAACAGGACACATGCGAGCGACACACATCACAACCAACAATCTTAGCATTTATTTCTCCGTAGCAGCCATATTCAACCGCCCCAAACAAAAATTTAAGTACAAAAGGACGAGAATTCAAGTATGGCACAGTCATCGATATGTATATGTGGACTGGATCTTGGTATAAATACTATACAAAAGCTAGCATTATATGTGCATTTCATATAGCAAAACTTTCTCAACTACGTAGGCCAGCAGCATTACTCTCAAAATGTTCGTAATTCACACATTATCAACTAACATCGAAGAAACAAAAGCTGAAAAACAGAAAAACAAAACAAACCAGGAGCACAGAGCTTAAAAGAAGATGAAAACCATCTGACGAGCTCATTCAACGAGCGCCCACTAAATCAAACTAATTATACCGCAAGGAAAATCAACCAATATGACAAAAGACTCGCAGACAATTGAATTTTGCTAGAAAATTTCCTAGAAACGAATACAAATTATAATGTATATTAAATATGAGCGTCTACAAGTTTTACCTGACCGAAAGCAATGAAAAATAGCTGCTCGTTTGTGAAGTCTAATCCTGGTAATTTTGCCTCCTCTCCATTGGTTTCACGCCACTTCATGTACGCCTGTTGAAAAAAAGATAATTTAGAGACATGCATATAAGTATGTATAAAAAAGTAAAAACTTCTCTTTGACAGAAATGCAATCAAAACTTAGCAATAACTCAAACTTTTTTAACTAGTATTTATGGCGCAAGGGAAAGCCATGTACGTGTACCAAAACATATTTCAAATGACTTTTTGTAAACAAAGCGTTTCATCCACTTCATAAAACATGGCAAGGACTGGATGAATAAAAAATATGCTAAAATTTGCCGCATTAGGGGTTGACGGTTGCAGCTTAGTTTCAAAATAATGATAATCAATTGATATTGACATGCTCGTGCACGTTGTATGCACAGTTGTTTTGAAGAAAATTTTCTTAATTTTATGGTAGAACCAAAGTATGATCACAGCTCTTCGAATCTTGCAACTTCCTGCAGCCTTCATATGTCATAATGACAGCAAATGCTTATGCTGGATAATGGCGTGGACCATATTT